AAAACATTATTTAATCCCTCTTTAAAAAAAAAGTTTTTCAAAAAATATTTATTTGTTTGAAATTGTTTTCTATTGACTAGTCATTGTTTTCTTTTTAAGTTTTGCCAAACTGCAATGTTTTAATTAAATAGAAGAGGAAAAAAAACATTTATTAAAAACATGACTTTTTGTAATTAAACACGCTCTCAAAGATATAAAAAATAAATCCTTTAGATAGATAAAAGTTAAAATATTTGAAATATTTCTCAAAACCTATTTTTTAAAAATAATTTTTGCTTAAAATGATCAAACACCATATAATGAGGTATTTTGCAGAAATATATTGAAAATATATTTCGGCCTGGATTGACCTTCTTCATTTCTTACGATAAAATATAACCATAAAAATGAATATTAAAAAATGTTAAAAATCACACAAAAATAAACAAAAATTATATAAAAAATTGTTTTCAAATAAAAAAGGGGGATTTGTCTTGGGGATAAAATACGCTTAAAGACGGGGAAAACTTAATTTGTTTCGAATTTTGAGCATAAAAAATTGGTGCGCTTCACGCCCATATATGAATCTTCCCAGTTATGAATGCCCTAGAGGACAATATATGTTGTAAAAATATTGTTTTTTGAGCAGGTCTACTGCTTAATCTATCCTAATTTTTCAAACAGAAGCTGTTCTTAGTTCTGTTTCTTCTTAGTTCTGTTTATTATTAGCTCTGTTTATTCTTAGTTCTATTTAGTCTTAGTTCTGTTTATTTTTAGCTATGTTTATTCTTAGTTCTGTTTATTCTTAGTTATGTTTATTCTTAGTTCTGCTTATTCTTAGTTTTTATTCTTAGTTCTGTTTATTCTTAGTTCTGTTTATTCTTAATTCTGTTTATTCTTATATCTGTTTATTCTTAGTTCGGTTTATTTTCAGTTCTGTTTATTCTTAGTTGTGTTTATTTTTAGTTCTTGTTTATTGTTAGTTCTGATTATTTTTAGTTCTGTTTATTCTTAGTTCTGTTTGTTCTTAGCGTTGCTTATTCTTAGTTTTATTTAGTCTTAGTTCTGTTTATTCTTAGTTCTGTTGATTCTTATTTCTGTTTATTCTTAGTTATGTTTATTCTTAGTTCTGTTTATTCTTAGTTCTGTTTATTCTTAGTTCTGTTTATTCTTAGTTCTGTTGATTCTTAGTTTTGTGTATTCTAGTCATGATTATTCTTAGTTCTGTTTATTCTTAGCAATGTTTATCCTTAGCAATGTTTATTCTTAGCCCTGTATAATCTTAATTCTGTTTATTCTTCAATCTGTTTATTCTTAGTTCTATGTATTCTTAGTTCTGTTATTCTTAGTTCTGTTTATTCTTAGTTCTGTTTATTCTTAGTTCTATGTATTCTTAGATCTATTTATTCTTAGTTCTGTTTATTCTTAGTTCTGTTTATTTCGTTAGTTCTGTGTATTTTTAGTTCTGTTTATTCTTAGTCTGTTTATTCTTAGTTTTGTGATTCTAGTCATGTTTATTCTTAGTTTTGTTTATTCTTAGTTCTGTTTATTCTTAGTTGTGTTTATACTTAGTTTTGTTTATTCTTAGTTCTGTTTATTCTTAGCTCTGTTTGTTTTTAGTGCTATTTATTCTTAGTTCTGTTTATTCTTGGTTCTGTTTATTCTTAGTTCTGTTTATTCTTAGTTTTGTGTATTCTAGTTATGTTTATTCTTAGTTCTGTTTATTCTTTGCTCTGTTTGTTTTTAGTGCTGTTTATTCTTAGTTGTGTTTATACTTAGTATTATTTTTTCTTAGTTCTGTTTATTTTTAGCTCTGTTTGTTCTTAGTTCTGTTTATTCTTAGCTCTGTTTGTTTTTAGTGCTGTTTATTCTTAGTTCTGTTTATTCTTAGTTCTGTTTATTCTTAGTTCTGTTTATTCTTAGTTCTGTTTAT